TTTCTATTGCAATGCCATATAACTTGGTTTATGTCCCAAAAAGTTACCAATTTTAACCCTACAAATTATGGGTGTTTATCTATCAAAAGAATTTGATCTTGAAGAAACTGGAATGAAATTTGACATAATTTGACCACGCATTTGATTGGATGGAATTGGAATCTTTCGGATATCTCGTGAAATGGTGAAATCTTTAATCTAAGGGGTCGTTTACCAAACACTTATCCAGGTAAGCGTTTATCAAGTCATATTATCTTACCGGATGAAGAAGACAAGAACCAAGAATCTTACCCGATAAGAGTGAGACAAGGGCAGAGAGTCCTACTCGGTAAGTGAGGACGACGACTCTTACCACAGTTAGCGCTTACCGGGTAAATTGTTGCATAAGATGCAATTTTTGTTGACTAAAATCTTACCCGCTAAGTAAGCGATAGTGTTGAATTTTACAGATAAACGTTTACCGGGTAAGTGTTTGGTAAACGACTCATAAGGTATTCAAGACTTGTGTCTCACGTTACGTTAAGCTTGAGGCACGCCATGACATATTGCATAGTTTTTGTAACACGATATTTGATTTTACTTATTTTTTAATGTCTTAGTTGTTAGTTTTTTAATATATCAGTTAATTTAAATTGTTTATTATCATTGATTCATTGAGTAATAGTAAAAAAACATATGTTTATGTATATAATATTATATATAATATACAGATTTGCCGTCATAAGTCACACCTTGACCTCGTCATGGCTTCCAAGGCTTGAAGTTTGGCCTTACCGCCACAACGCGTCTCACACTATTTAGAACCTTGATATTTTTATTTTCATTAATCAGTAAAATAACCATTTTTAGAGGGTTTCGTTAGAAAATAGCCAAATTCTGTGAACTTTGCCCAAAAGATGCATTCACTTTTGAACTTTGAACATCATCATATTTTTACTTTGTACTTTTTATGGGTATTGATAAGTTAAAATATTGCTGTAATTTTTTTAGAGGTACTGTTACGTCCATATTAAAACTATAAATTATCTGATATGAGTACCAAATAGAATAAAATATAAAAAATCTCATATCATATTAAAAAGGAAATGCGTAAAATAGCAACTTACTTTTATAAATTTTCTTATTATAGTATTCTATTTTCAGTTTTTCTTATTAGAACAATGTACTTTCAAAATATTTTTTATTAGATTATTGTACTTTAATTTTTTTACCCATTACAGCATTGAGAAATCTTTTAAATTAAATTTACTCATTATACCAAGTTTCTCTGTCACCTCATCGTCTATGTAGGCTGTCTACATGTACGATAGTGCTGACATCAAAATTACTTTATTATAACATCACCAATTTCTATTACAACATTATGACTTTAATTTTAATTTTTTTAATCATTTAAACATTGTAAATTTAATCAAATATATTTACTAAAAATTATAATAAATATTATTTGAGATTATAATATCATTTTTTGTATTTTGTTTTTTGACATATTATAAAAGGCAAATGACACCCAAATCGATAACTTTTTTTAGCATTAACATATCTGCAATAATATATCAAACAATACATGAAATAAAATCTTTTTTACCGTTATATAAGTTTTTTATTAAATTAAATATTTTATTTTTAAATAACAAATACTCTTTTTTATAACTCTGCTAACAAATCAAAATAGGTAAACATACAAGCGTCACCAATACAATTTAATATTATAATTTTTAGTTAATATATTTGATTAAATTTACAATGTTTAAATGATAAAAATATTAAAATTAAAAGTACAATATTGTAATAGAAATTGATGATGTTATAATAAAGTAATTTTGAAAGTATAATGCTATAATAAGAAATATCATGTCAGTATTATCGTACATGTGGACAAACTACGTGGACGATGAAGTGACAAAGAAACATGGTATAATGCGTAAGTTTAATTTAAAAGATTACCTAATGTTATAATGGGTAAAATTTTGAAAGTACAATGACCTAATAAAAAACATTTCGAAAGTATATTGCTGTAATAAGAACAACTGAAAATATAATGCTATAATAAGATAATTTGTAAAAGTAGATTGATATTTCATACATTTTGCCCTATTAAAAATATTTCAAACTAAAACAACAAAAAATTTTAACATAACAAAGAATATCAAAGATTCAATTTTTAAACAGAAATTTCTGAAAATTAATACTGACTTCGATTTTGAAATAAACTAGAGAAGTCTTAATTGAGGTGAGTTCACAGGTTGGACTATATAGATCTGGGCCCCAATAACACCTCGTAAAAGGCATAAAATGTTGTATTTTGCAAACCTAGCATGCGAAACCCTAATTTGTACTTTTTCCTGATAAAAATAGTATAAAAATTTGGAGTTCGCAAAATCCACTTTGCAAACCAGATGGCTATTTTGTGTAAATATCGAAAAATTTGGCTATCTTGTAACGAAAACCTTCTGTACAGATGGAGAAGTTTTTGTTTTAGAGACTTTTTGTTTATAGACAGAAGGTGCGTGTTTTTTTTAATTGGGAGGGGTTTGTTTGAAAAAAAAAACTAGACTTTTTACATGAATAAGCCACTTTCTGTATCATTAAGCCGCAACCAAATAGTTATGTATAGCTGACCGAATAAGCCGAGTCTCATTAAGCTGCTAACAAACACACTCTAAATTTAGACAACTATAATTCAGTCATTTATAAACCTCCTAATTTATATAAACTGTTCGTATAGGTTAATGAATATCTGCTTCAACAAATATCTCGATTATTTTTTTAATCTAAAGCATTGATCCCATAAATATCTTAATAATAAATGAACTTCTATAATTTTCCATAAATATCTCAATTGTTTGGTTTGTATAAGTTGTGAGGTTTGCAAATATGATTATATATATATATATATATATATATATATATATAGGGTTGGGTTCACGTGAGACCAAAGGTTTTTCGTGAGACCCGTAAGACCAATTTATGTTCATTGATCAACTATATAAGTTAATGATCTAATAGTCTAAATTGTACGGTGGCAATTTTGTAATCATTGAGAAGTCTCATGGCGTTTATGAATGTTCAGATCTGACGATTGTAGATCTAATCCAAGAGTTGAGAATTGGTCTTACGGGTCT